AGGCCTTACAGCCTGCAGCTCTAGACAAACACTTGGCAGCAGCTTTGCAGACTCTATGGTTGGCATCGATCTGCAGGGCGGCCAGGGTCTGCAGCGTGCATCCCAGTGGGAGGAGCTCTGCGACGCGACGCCCTCGCAGCTTATTTAAAGCCTGCCTCCGTTTGGGGCTCCTCAAGGCTGACAGCATGTACTCTGAAACAAGCCAGTGATGAATGTTAATATTAATACACCTAGTTTTGGGAAAACAATCTCAGCACAAGGTCCATTTAGTAGCTGTTGTGGAGCTTTCAACCAGGTCACATGATTTTTATTAGCAGAGGAAGTTGTGATGGAATTACAGATATTCAAATTTCTATTTTTTCTGAGCACTTTAAGGACTTCTCATCCATGTCTGCTTCAAAGCTGAGGTTCACAGTTCATTCTTGATCATGGAAGCAAAATTAGGTTTAGGATCTGTATGTACTTCTTTGTTTTCCTGTGCCTTTATACGTGTACCTTGTTTGACGTGGGTGGGGCTCCATGGGACAATTTAATGTCGTGTACTTTCGTGCTCCAATCAGGACGTGGGTATGGAACATTTCAGAGCAGTTTCTGTAGGTAACTCCGATGTACGTCCAGAGATTTAAAATGACAGCTTTACCTTCTTTGGAGAGGCGTGAGATGTGCGCTCCCAGCTCCTGGATGCTCCAGCGTTTCAGATACACTGACAGCTGGAAGAGGGTGACTCTGTCTGGGCTGCAGACCGATTGAGGGCCAGGCACCATCTGACTGGCCGTTTGGACCTGCTGTAGGAGCTGAGAAAACACTGCAGAGAAGGGAGAGTGAAAACACTGCTTATGGTCCAGTTAGTCAGTGTTTGACTGTTGCAGGAGCCAACATCTGTTACTGCCTAAAAAGGTGGGTTGAAGTGCTTGTCTACCTTTTTCTGACTGACCGGGCTGCTTGGCCTTCACCTTGTGTGTGTAACGTTTCTTTAGCGTCTTGCAGAAGCTGTCAGGGCGGCAAGAGAAAGGAGAGCTGCTGTCGCTCACACACTCCTCCCAGAACAACAGCACGTCCCTCATTCTCTGGGCCTTAGGGAGGACTGAGGAGAGTTCACACTTATTTACCCATCAACTCTGCAAACGGGTAACAATCCAAAACTGAAACACTGTGTGCTTTGTAGAGTGAAAAGCATGATAAGAAATGGCTTCATTAAAGATTTGACTTAGTGTTTTTATCTCCATACGTGAGCCTGTTGTAAATGTCATGCTAATTGGGTATTAACTGTAGACAATATGTTGTTCTGTGAAGACAAACAGATCTTTCACTGACTGTCTCGAGCAGTGATGTTGTCGTTCTTCTCTAGCAGCAGACAGCTGACTCTGTCCAGGACTTGGGCCTGAAGAGACATTTCCTCCAGCAGCTGCGTCTGAGACGGGCTGAAGTCGGTCGTTCTTATCATCTGAGGGAACGTGCATTTGTTAGATTTCGAAAACCAAGTTAGACAGTGGAGACAGACAAGGGCAGCAGACAGTACAGTCTTCTTGATAGCACAGCACTACATAGCCAGCTCAGTGTCCTGGGAAGGCTAACACACAGCTTGTGATTCTACACCTCACCATCTACATTCATACCAATGTTCAGTGCCAGAGCAGGACGGCACCAGAGATTGTGTTCTGGCACAGAGCTCCAAGAAACATTTGCATTTTTATTCAACATGACCACAGTATTCACAATATTTCCCTTAACCTGAACCATACTGTACAATAGTTTCAATGCACACCGTCTGTCGATAGGATGTTTATATTACAGACTTGAAATGAGCCGAGCTCCGCGCTATGAAGACTAGTTTCTCGCCACAACCTTGAGGATAGCCACTCTATAAAAGAATGTTTTGTCTAAAAATGAATTTCAGTATGAAATATGGGTCACATCCTAGAAACAATATGAACACTAATCCTGAAAACTCAGTAAAAGCAATAGTTCAACTTCTGGGCAATGCCGATTTTTCTTATTCTTGATGTCGAGTTGGAGAAGATCGATAGCACTCTCATGTCTGTAAGGTAAATATGAAGCTACTACTGGGAGATGCTTAGCTTGGCAGGAACAATGAAAGCAGTGGGAAATACAGCAGCCTGTCGCTGTCTGGTCTGCCTGAACACCAATAAAACTCAATAGTCGCCTTGTTACATCTTGTTTGTTTAACACCGAAGTGTAAAAAGCAGAACTCGTGTCCACACTAGCGGTTTATCTTGTTTCCAGTCTTTAGATTAAGTTAAAATCACAAGGTGTGTTCATACTAAATATGAGAGTGATACTGATCTTCTCATTTAAATATTGGTAAGAAAGTGAGCAAACGTGATTCTCAAAATGTCAGCTTGTTCCTTCAATGTGGACAAACTACAGGAAACTACTGTACCTGTAGCAGGATGCAGCAAATATCCAGGTGTGTCTCTAGAGCTTGGTCAAGACCCCAGTTCCCAGAAGTCAGAGGGGTGATGACCAGCTCTTCCTCAGACGCTGACTGGCTGTGCTGGGAGAGGAGGCCGAGACTCCTCAGAGTGCTCTGCTGGAATGAACTGATGCTGGTGGGTGGAGAGAGGAAGGAGAGATCAGCTGTTTTACAGGGATGCTGGCTGTTTACTGATTTTCTGTTATTGATCTGGAAGCTCACCCGCTGTCTTTCAGTCTCATGCTGCCCAAACAGGAAGTGTCATCATCTGCATTGAGGTCATGTGACAAGAAGTCAAAGCTGCCCAGGACTTCCTCCACGGCCAGAGTCTCCTCTGATGAGGAGCTTCTCAACAGAGACAGGTCATTCTGCATGAGAACACATGCACGCATTTATAAAGCTAAAGGGCTAAATGATTGTGTACAGTTTGTTTACAGGTGTTTGTATCCATATATATGAATACACAGGTACCTTCAGTATAGTTGAGATGTGTGATATCTGGTGGTCCAGAGCCTTGAGCTCCTTCTGGTTCTGTAACATCTTCTCCAGCTCTGCGATCAGGGCTCCCAGTCGGAAGGCCTGGGCCCTGCGCTGGGCGCTGCTCATCCCCATCCTACCAGGGGTCGGAGCCACCATTGTTGGTGAGGAGAGGGCTACAGCTGGGAGCTCAGGTGAAAGAGAGGGCAAAGCTTGGGCAGAAATGGGAGAGTCCTGGAAGAAACGTGGGAAGGGAGGAGTCTGAGCCAGATGAAATCTCATGACACAGGTAGTCCCTATAAGTTCAACATGGATTTCATACGTCCTGAGCTATGTCTCCAGTGCAGATAGTAGGTGCACTTTAAACTGTATCAGCTTCAAAACTCCTAAAAAATGAACATATGTCTGTAATTAGATATTGTTTGATGACAAATACTGGTAGCTTTTTGTACCACTAGTAGAACTAAAAGCAAGGTCCAGGACAGGAGCAGTAGTCAGGGTGTGCATCTGTGTTGTTGTCCTCTAGTCAGTGCCACTAAAATGGGACTCCGTTGCTCCACAACAGGGCTGCAGCCCTCACACCTGTGGCTGAAGGATTGTTTCTTTTATCAGGATTTCACTTGGTGCTATATGACATGAATGACGTGATGTTCTACCTGCTGGTTGACAGTGTCCGGTCCCAGGACAGAACTGTGTGTCTCAGCATCTGGTTCTCCAGCTGTGTTCTTTCTGAGGATGTCAGGAGTGCTGAGTCTGCGTTAGGGACAAATATCAGCTTATTCTAAAAAAAAGCAGGAGTCAAAATATTTCAAGATTTTGCATGGCGGTATCCAGAAGGCAGGCAAGATAGTGTCAAAAATAAAACAAAGTGAAATTTAATCTTATTTACAAGCACAGCTAGAAGGCCCATCATAAGATACCATTATATTTAGCAACATGGTTTAGCTTTAAAAGAAGTGACGCTATCATGCTCGTCTGAAGAGAAAGTAGTTAGTAACATAACGTTATGGAGGCCACATGATCTGTGCTCACATGGCAGGTGTGTTGATTAAATACCAACTCACAAGGTGAGAAGGCAGTGCTCTAGAAAAACAACAGGACACCCGTGTCTCAAACACTACCAGAGACGGATTAACTGACAGAGTGTCTTTAATGGTGATTATCATTAGTTCTTACAAATTTAAAGCTGTATTAGGTGTTTCCATTATTTTGTCCGCCCCCTGTACAGCCTTTGTTACTAGGCATTCATTCTAAAATGTGAAAAGTATAAACACTTCGTTGTTGCTGAGTTCAGCCTCACCTCTGCAGGGATCCTGTCATACTCTTTGCTGGTGGAGATGGACTTTCTCCCACACCTCCCCACTCCTCCTCTTCCCCCCTTTCATCCATCCTCTTCCTCCTCTGACTCTGCTCCGCAGAGACCTCCGGGGATCCTTCCTCCTCCAGAGGCAGCTGCTGGCTTCCTCCCAGGCTGGTGCCTTGACTTGGGCTGGAGGTGTAGCTGTGGGTCCGTGTGAGGCTGTGGAGGAATTGATCACAGTGAGACATAAACACACACGTCTGTAGTGGCAGCTTTCACTTTACGCTTTAGAATTGGTGTCTGTTTGAATCTTTGATTTACTGCACTGTGTGGAGAACAGTGGTATCCTGGACATTTCATCTGTGAGGATATCAGCTATAAGATGATTAAAGGGATTTTCTGTCTTGAGAAATACTGGTCACACTCAGCTCTTCTAACCTTTAAAGATCAGAGGTTTGGGAAGTACTGCTCTACAGGAAAGGGTGTTATTTAATGATTACTAACAAATCCCATGAAAAAGACCAAGACCTAGCTGATTGTCTCTGTAGTCACTGCCGTACCTCGGGGTGTAGGGGGATGGAGGGCTGTAGTTTGATGTGACCGAGGGGTTGGACAGGTAGCTGAGCAGAGACACACCTCCTCTGTTATGACGTGTCTTAGGCACCAGAGACGGGAGAGAGCTTTCTCCATCCTGCAGCTCGCGCACCATCGACTGCAGAGAGTGGACACATATCAGTTTAAATATCAAACTGTAAAGTCACTGCAGCTGATGGCAGAGGAGAGAGTTGTCATATGTTTAGTTGCTTGAGGGAGACGTTCAGGAAATGAAATATCTGATTTTTAAATATCTGAAAATCAGATTTTTTACTTCCAAAGTAGCAAAAGAAACAGACATTCAGTTCCATATGAACAGTATGGAGAAAACGCTGCCGCCACCACTGCTGTCCTGTTGTCGCTCCATCACACCGAGAACAGTTTGGAAAATCTCCATACTTTCAGTCACGTGAAATGTAGGATTTACTGTACAGTAGATACAGATCTTCCAAAAAGAAATTATGATTATTCTGCTGTTGAAGCTCAATACTAAAAGCTCCTTGTTAAATCGTTCACATAGTTGTTTGCAGCACAATGTTCTGAATGTACTGCCATGTTTTGTCTATTTACAGAGAACATCTTGTGGCCGTGCCAATAAACCCCTCTGAATTTTAAAATGACAGTTTGCTGGTTACTGGTACAGGCCTATGTGCATTGTTGTGAACTGTTAAGGGAAAACACTCTATGTGTGCGACTCTGTGTGAGTCTGTCTGATGCAAGCACCTCGCTCCAGGGGTTCAGCCACTACAAACCACACAGGGTCTAATTTTCATTTGTGTGGTGGGCACATTAATGTATTTTCTCAAAATATGATTGCAGTCATTACATTTGAGGTTTATTCTAGGACTGGGGTTAGTGGTCATTGCTTCAGGTAGAGATGTCTCCAGGGAACGAACAGTGCTATGTACGCTGCAACCAAAATAACCTTGGAAATCAACTGGACTTGGATTTCTAGATCGAAGATGTGATGATATTTAGCTGTAATGATTGTGTAGGCCCACAGGGTGTCACTGTGGGCTGGTATAGGCTTGAATAGCAAGGTAGAAAAAACCCATGTTAGTGAGTTGTTGAAACCGTGCTCCGAATGGATGTTCAAATAAAACCCTTCACGAAGTCACAAATGAAAGTCTCATGGTGTCAGAAGTGGGATGTCCTAGCAGCTTGAGAGAAGACGGACCTTTGGAACAGTGACATGGCGAAGTTTCATGCACCTGAGTCGTTCGTCCTCACCCAGCCTTCGGCGTGTCCGGACTGGAAGCAGCGCTTTTCTCGATATCGGATTGCTACGAAGCTCGACCAGGAGAGCGGGGAAGTACAAGTTAATACTCTCTTATATGCTATGGGACAAGATGCAGAGCCCATATTCAGCACGTCTACATTCCCAGAAGAGGAAGATGATGATTATGACTATTATGAAACAGTGGTAGGGAAGTTTGAGGAACACTTTGTGCCCAAGAGAAATACCATACACGAGCGTGCATGTTTCCAAAAATGCTCACAACAAAAGGGAGAGAGTGTGGAGGCTTTTGTGAGACATCTTTATGAACTAACACAACATTGTGAGTTTGGAACTACAAAGGACGAGCAGATAAGAGATCGTATTGTCATCGGGATCGCGGACATTGAAGTGTCGCAGAAATTACAATTGGAGCCAGACTTAACGCTGGAAAAAGCCATCAGTGTGGCTCCACAGTCTGAACTCATCAAAGTGCAAAATGCTCATGATCGACCTACTGAAAATGAAGTAAGTGTCGTTACACACAAATTCAGGAAATACAAACCATTTGGAAAGAGGCATGCTAGAGACACAAATGACCCACAGTACAAAGTAGCAGATAAGTCAGCTAAAGGGAAAAACTGTACTAGATGTGGCAGAACACATGACTATGGGGCCTGTCCTGCTACAGGGAAACGCTGTCGAAAATGCAACAAGATGGGTCACTTTGAAATAATGTGCAGAACTAAAAACGTGGGAGCAGTAAGAACTAAAGATACAGACAGTGATGAAGGCAGTGAATGGTTCTTAGGAACCGTTACAGGAGAAGACAATAACAATGACAAGTGGTTCCAAGATCTGCATATCAATGGGACAAATGTGAAATTTAGAATCGATACTGGGGCTGACATTACAGTAATGTCAGAACATACTTATCGATGCTTGCCACGGCGCCCTGTTTTGAAAAATACTAAAGCAGTCTTCACAAGTCCTGGAGGAGAATTGAGTTGCAAAGGCAAATTTCTGACAGATTGTGAGAGACGAGGAAATAAGTACTCACTTTGGATTTATGTAATGAGAGGTCCATACACTACAAACCTATTGGGAAGAGAAATGGCTATGAAAATGGGACTTGTACGTCGAGTGGAGAGACTTGAGGCATATGAGGATGTTTTCGGGGACAATGGTCTACTAAAGTGCGACCCTGTTAAAATAGAACTCAGACCTGACGTTCAGCCCTACAGTATTGCCTCGCCACGGCGTATTCCATTTCCTATCCTGCCACAAGTAGAAGAGGAACTGAAAAGGATGCAGTCACTTGGCATTATTGACGAAATAAAGGAAGCTACTGACTGGTGTGCGCCCATAGTGCCCGTAATAAAAA